CGTTAAATAATTGTGAATGTCATATGGCTATGCATTTAAGTACTCATATGTAGTACAACATCCTAGCTGCAGCGACACGGTAGTGCTGCGAGCTAAGTAAAAAAAAAAGGAGAAGGCTTAGCACACTACCGTAACAGAAACCTAAATATACCTATATAATATTTTGGTATTGTTTATTAAAGTCTACAGGTTTAAAAAATCTACAAAATCGTTAGAAGAGGTATCAATCGATCGAGAAAATCCTGGGTTAGGTGCATCTATAATTTGCAATGGAATTGGTTTAATAATATTTCAGTAATGAACAGTCACTGTGCGTCACGACGGCGAATTTTGTTTATATCGTATCTCTAGGTGTAATATGACTTCACGTAAAATGTACTATAACTATAGTCGGTAGTGTAACGGGGCTTGGGAACATGTTATATTTAGATAATTCAGTGAGGGTTGTCAGAGCTCTTTGAATTGTATTTTAACCGTAACTCGGGAGGTTCAAGAAAGATAGATCAAATATTACGTTTCAGTTGATATGTGTTATATTTCATATTGTTACACAATAAAATACAACAACCTTAGTTACATACCTATTAAATCTAGTATAACGAAAGACTTACTAATTTTATGGTCATCTGGAGTTCCATAGTAGCGGGCTTCTGTACTTGTCCCTGCACTAACGAACTTAACATTGTGTGTGTATGACAATTATTTGTGTATTTGTGTACCAGGATGACTATAATATGTTTATAAGACTACTTCCTCATTATCAATACTTACATTTATACTTAGCAGTTTAGTTTTAGTTTAATTTTAGTTAAAATAATTCATATAATAAATAAATACACATAACTAAATTTTGTTGAATTTTGATTATAATTACTTATATACGCATTTTACACATTAGACCATTTACTAAAATTCCAACTTATATCACACATTTTTAAACATTTATCTTTAAGTTTTTTTCACTTAGCGTTTTTTTACACGGAGTAGGTGGTGTGTTTTTGTAGGGATATATAAATTACATCAAATACTAAGAGATGGATTCCATATTATTCATAAATCATAGTATGCTAATCTGCAGTTGTATAGAATATATTTCATTTTTTCACGGTAGAAGTGGAAATTAATTTTAAAAGACTAATAAAAGAAACAGTGTCACTTTTTGGTCAGGACTTTTTGTATAAGTATAATTTGTATATTTAATATATATATATTTATTTATTTATTTTGTTAATGATAAATGTCACCAGTGTTGTTCAAGACAATTTAAATTATTTGATGCCTGAGTTAAAGTTTTTAATAATTGGATTTGAATAGGAAATAAGGAGGTTTTTACTTTTTATTCAAATAAGAAGATTATTCAGAAATAAAGTTAATGTGAAAATCGGAATGAAATGTACAATTTGAAACTTAAACAGATGCTTCCTTTATAATTTAGTGACTGCTGGATTGAAGATTTTGGATTTTGTGTATGTTTGAAGCTGCAGCAGCACCGCACATTTGTTCACCCAAATCCTAAGTCCATATTCTCATTAATATAGGACTAGTTTAAACTTCTTATTAAGTTTTAAATTTAAATAGTAGAGTCTTTCTTCTATAGTCCAGAACTAGTTAATTGATTTTGTTGGGGGGTAACCTGGCGAGGCGTTGGTCGAGAATTAGACTAAAGTATTTAGATGAGTTTTAAATAATTTTTTTGTTTTAATAGAAGCGTTAGTGGATACGTTTTTATGAAGAGGTAACGTAATGTCGGAGGACTTGTTGGTATTATTTTAGAACAATAATATTAATACGTTTATAGTATATTAAGGGCAACCACAAACACACATACGAAAAAGGTCTTTTGAAGACCAAAACATACAGATTTTGACAGAAACGGGAGTATGATAAGGGACAATAACATCTCGATAACCACTCATAATATGGCGATGATGTGATGATTCCTCCCCATGCCATAAAAACTCGCCAAACGAGTAAATTATATATGGGTGAATTTTGTCAATAATAATCAGTATTCTTTCCATTTTTGAACCTTCAACATTTCTCAAACTAAAAAAGAAAATCGAAGAATCAAGACAACGAACCAACAAGGCTGGTGACCTTGCAGCCAGCAGCAGCCCCAATATTCATAGGTGCGCGCACAAGAGGGGGGGGGGGGTCGCGTCAAATGTGGTGATTTTATAAATTGGCTTACACAATCCAACTATAGGAGGAAAACTATATATATTGTAATATTGTTAAATCATTGAAAACATTTATGGTTACCTATATCAGTAACTAGCTGTTCTTGCGAACGGTCATTTTCCAAGCTCAGTAATTGTGAAAATCAAGTTACGCAGTACCATAACACAGGATCGATTGGATGGCCTGCTTACTATATTCATTGAGCAAGAATTTGCGTATAACATAAAAATTGATGATGTAATTGATACATTCAAAAACCTTACTCCTGTGGACAGAAGGATGGAGTTGTTTTTTAGGATTTCTTATGTTATATGAATTGTGTAAGTTATAATGATTTTTTTTATAGTTATTATTATGCTGTTTCAAGTTATTATTATTATTCATTTTTATTTTAATAATGTATTATTTTTACGTACCTATTTTAATACATTTAAATAATATTTATTTTTATATTTGCATATTGAATTAAATAAATACTCTATACAATTATCAATTAAATAATTAGTTATACTAGTAATTATTAGTACAAGAATCTTTGATTCAGACTTTTTAAGGGGCCTCCCTGCGGACAAAGTCTGTTCACGCTTATGCCACCAGTGACATATAAAATCCGTCGACGACCTCAGCTCCCCTCCCAACGAAGCAACAGACAGCAACGTTCCATACTCGCTGACGGCCAAAATCCGACTAGTCTTCTACGAGGTTCCTAAAAATTACCCTATTCGGGTCAACCACCAGTTGTCACACACCAAGCTCGCCTGTCTTGGCCACGTTCTCTGGACGATACCCATGGATCGTACTCCTCTTGTATAAGCGGGCCCGACTTGTATGGTGTCGGTCCCAACCCTATACTTATATATTTCATGTGATAACATAAAACATACCACGGATTGTAAGAGAATATCGATTGTCACCAGACAATCGATCTTCAACCCTGTGTTATAACATACTTAATATTTAAATAAAAATAAAACAACCATATATGTACTGAATACCTCACGCTTTCTTGTTTAATAAGAGACGACGACGTTTATTCCGACGTGTACCGTAATACCATTAGATATCAGTTTATTTCAATACCTAACATCTTAACACGGCAAACTAAAATTATGGTAAATAAATTTAAGTAGATTAATAGTATATTAAAATTGTAATTGTAGGTGGTTTTTTCCGGCGTTTTGTTTTTTTATTTTGAGTGTATTGTATTTCCAACTGATTATCATAAAAATTAGGGCTGAATTTAGCAATATAATGTTGATATAGATTTGTAGAAAAATGTATGTTTGATAATATATGAAATATTTCAATGTTTGAAATTGATGGTTACACTTTAAGCGATTAAAATATAACAACGAATAGGTATATGGATACACGAGCACGGGGTTTGGATAATTTGGCGAGTGTCTTTGATTTGTTTAAGCTATCAAATTATCAAAAGTCCGGGAATCCCAAAACGAAGCAGTTATTCCTTCAAAAACCTGATTCCATCCGATTAACCATCGTATCACAGTTGACCGAATTTGAATCAAATGAAAAATTGGCTTGAAGTGAAGAAAACAATTTTAAAAGGTTAAGGGGCGAATTATATTTCCCTTCGGAGTCTGTAAGTATGGTGCAGGATTTATCGATAATCGTAGAGAAGATAGGCAAGAGAAGGTGAGAGCTACTGCAGTTAATCTGGACGATGTGAATTTATTATCGGACGATGGCACATGGACCGTGAAAGATACACGAGCTTCGCGGCCCGATCAAATGGGCTGGACGGAAAATAGATTTCAGACGACAATCCGTCAAATTACGGACAAACTGGCGTGCTGAAAGACGGAGACAGTGAAAGGGAAACGAAAACGTTTATCAAAACGCAAATAATTTTTCTCCTACAATAAATGTTTATAATATATTACTATTTATTATCAAATCACAGATACCATCGATGACCTTTTTCCGTAAGATTTGGCACCAGCTATGGCGTTGTTCGACGCGCCTTACCATATAATACACATATAATATATTATCTTTAAATATAAATTATATATATATATAGGCACATTATATATTATTATCACCTTTTTCACTGGACTTAATCAGCTACTTTATTTAATATTTAACCTATGCGTGTTTTACAATTTTTGATCAGATATTGCGCTCTTTTGAAACAATAATATGTTATGGGGCAGCAATAGATATTTAATGTATATAGCATAATGCAGTTTGATAGCGTAACTAGTCAAACGAGATAAAAGGTTCAAAGATTTGCTTTTATTGTTATAAACTCTAATAAATATTTTTATCTATGGGCCCAACCACTCGTTTATCGCAATATTTGATATTACTGCATACGTGTATAACACACATTTTAGTTTCACTATAAAACATTAGAATATTAATATTATATAATAATATCGTATGTTATTGTACTCTACAGCAGTGATATCGTTAGATATTATATTTGATTATACCTAATATAAAGTTAAAATTAAAATAATCGAATATGATTTTAGCTTCATGTGCTTCATCTGATATAGTTGACTGTTTTATACACAATTTGAATCCTGGATATTTTTATTTAAGGTTAACCTAATGAAAAAATCTAAAGGCTTTTCAGCCACAAAACCATATTTTTTAAGTAGATACCTTTTCGGATTATTTTTCACTTTGAATAAAACACTTTAATAATACATTTATTTGACAACAGAAAAAAAATGCAATAATAATAATATTATAAAAATGTCAAAAATCAATTTATAATTGTTTTTAAAATAATAAGATTAAACAAAAATCTGTTTTTAATACTATTTAAATTTACTTAATTAGGCGCAGTCCATACCATATATAACGTACATCCACATAATATATTATAATATAACTGCCAGTGAAAAAATTATGTATGTCGGACCATTGTGTAGCCACCTCCGCATTTTCTGGTACCTACATAAGGACAATCATAGTACGAAATAAAAATAGTAATGCAAAGCAAAATAAATTATATCTTTTTTCTGTTTTTATCTTTCTAGTGAGATATTATAGTAAATTGTTTTAAAATTGTTTAGATTCATATAAAATAAAAGAAACATGTAATCAAAATATAAACCTTTTATAGTTCTTTGACGTTTAAATGAGTTTTTTTTATTAAAAAGCAATGTTTTTAGGACATTCAGAAAAAAATACAATCTGTATTTAATTTCACGTAATATAGTATTAACTTAATATTTTTTCTTTAAACAGTATTTACTCTGCACTGCAGTTAATTTAAGTAAGAGATAGTTTTAGAAATATAAAACGACGTTAATGATCATCTTAAGAGTCGCCAATGAAGTATGCAAAAAAACTGTTACACTATTGAACTGCAAGAAGTAAATTAAAATAAATAATTTATTATATATAGCTATAAGCAATAAACAAAATCTACCGAATAAAATCAAAATACAATACTGCAGTATTCTCTATACCTATATAATCTGTTATTAAAATGAAGCGGAATTCAAAAGGAACTTTTTCGCTCGCTAAAAGAATATTAAACTATATATTTTTTTTTAATATCTCATTCAGAGTAATTTTTATACAGTCAATGGATCGAAAATATAAAAATAAATATATTATACAGAACGAGCATATTGAATAAACCATGTCATAGAATTATAAGATTGGAAATGTTTGAAACGCGTGGTTTTTTTCGAATTCTATGAGCGAATGTCATAAGTTGACAAAGATGAAATGTACAAATGCGAAATATAATATAATATATGTATAACATCTGTAAATACAAATAAATATTATGTAATTTTAGCTCCAAATTATTGACTGTTAAACGTGAATCTCAGCTAAATGTTCAAAAACATAAGTGTTATAGTACATAGGTACAATTTCACGTATCCAGACAGTCTAAATAATCTAAACTCTAACCACGAGAGGGTTTTTTTCAAACAGTGGTATACCTTTCAATTTTGTTTCTTTGTATTTCTATTTATTATAAACTTAATGAAAATAAATGGTTTTATATATTGACCTTCCTCATTATACTATATGCAATACAATTTCGCATACACCAAAAATAAGCAACAACATATTTATCATATTATATTATAACAATATGTTTAAAAAAAATCATTTATCTACCTACAGTAAATAATTTTTTCGATTTAAATAATAATTATTGTTAATCACGATTACAATATGCATTGATACTGTTTTACAACAAATCAACAGTTTGAATTTCTCACTTCAAAGTTCTACACGTACCCACTTCAATTATCTTACAAAGTTTAGCTGAAGTTGTTACTCTAATTAATTGATCTTCTGTCACAACAATACGTCATAATTTTTGTCTTTGAAACATCGGAGAGAGTTTGCTTTGTTGAAGTGCAGAACACCGAACAGCTCCTTGGCATTTATACAGTGAACAAGTGCTATGAGTATTAGCATTATAAACAGCACACGAGTCAATCTTTAATATATTGATTAGTTAGTGTGATGAGTAGGTTCTTGATTTATTTGATCTAAAAACATTAGAAATATAATGCTCTATAAAAATTACATTTATGCTCTTATTTTATAAAAATATACTTTTTTAATTAAAAAATTTTCAAAAAAAAGTATTTTATTTCCTATTTGTTAATATTAATTTTAAAGTATTAGTATTTTTCAATAGTATCACGGTTTTCAATCTGATAAATTGCACTTGTGTGCTTTCCAGTCTACGAATGTTGAATAACTATTTTTTGCCATTAACTTTATTTTACATTATAAACTAAACATCTAAACTCTAAAAAACATTGCACCTTTATATTAGATTCAGCTAAAATGTTGTTTAGCCTACTAGACGTTGTTGTACTAATTTTCAGCATTTTAAACATAAACTATTTATTTATTTCGCTCACTCCAATCACATAAAATACAGAGTGTGGCGTAATGGACTCCCACATTTCTGAAGTGATTTAAAAAAAAAACTTTACAAGATATAGAGAAAATATTTTATTTTTAAAAACATCGTTATATGAGATTTTTAAAATTATTTTCTAAAAATGATATCGTCCAAACGATTGCCTTGACGAGCGACGAACATATGAAGCAGTTTTCGAAAGTCGTCCATCACTCTTATCAGCATATCGAATGGAATTCCGGAGATTTCTTGACGGATAGTCTCCTTTAGTTCTTCAATGGTTCTAAGTAAATTTTAAGTTTCGTACCCAATTAAAAATCGCCTTCCAATCAGGAACACTTTCGTTTGGATTTAAACCGAACCGAGAGCGAAATGCTCTCTGTGTCGCAGTCACATATTTAAAAAAAATGCCTCGATAACGAAACCACGTTGTTCACCAAACCACAGCATACTGATGATTAAAACCTTATAATAACCTAATCCAGAGAAATAAACTCATTAGTCTAATCAGTTTGATTACGCGCTAACGATTATTTGAAATATGGGAGTCCATTACGCCGCACCCTGTACAATGAAACAGATGAAAAACATGGTACTCAAAAACGTATTATACATTATGTAATATGCATTTAAAAACCATCGATATGCAATGAAAAATAGTAAAATACAAAAATATGCAGTGTACATGAAAATATGATAAAATATGCAAATGTGATAAAATATGCAAATAAATATACAAAGTAAAAGATCTATTCACTATAATTCAAACTTGTAGAATATCTAGCTATTTTTTTTTTTTTGGACTGTTTAAAAAAAAAACATGCAAGAACGTACGAAGTTGGGTAATAATAATAGTTAAGTCATTATTTTAAAAACTACTAACAAGTAATTAATATTTTGCCCAACATTTGCACTACAGCACTAAATTAATACTCAGCCATCTTCCAATCCAAGTGCAAAGATATATTATTGTTATTTTTTAATGTTACCTTTAAAGGTTTTAACAACTGAAAAATAAGTCTAACTTAATACACTATTTGTATTGATTATATGCACCTAGTCGTATTCCGGATTGATGTATGCGACATCTTGAGGTTAATCTCACTATTCCAACTAATCCGGGAATATTATTAAGTCAATAGGGGGACGGGTGACTTAGCCACACAACACTATTATTCTTATGGCTGCAATCTTTGTTACTTTATAGTATTGAGTCTATACATACAAACATTATATTACTATCGTATATATTGTTTACAATATGGTAACTACTAATAAGATACAAAAACAGATGTTAATCTGTTACAGTGGAAAAATAAATTCTAACCCCCCCCCCTCCCCTCCTATCACTCCAGTAAAAGCATTTGCACAAATACAACGATATAATAAATATAAATATATATATCTACAGGCCGACTTTGATTTAATAGTTATCGTCTATAAGACGTTGACACTTGTCATGATAGGAGAAGATGACGGGTGAGATGGGGTCAAAGGTGAGAAATTATCTGTTAAGATTTGTACAGTCTTCGCGGTTAGGACACCATATAGGTTGGCCATTGCTCGAATATTATTATTTATTTATTTATTGAAAAACGGAACGTGCCCAATTACATAGAATATTAAGCATAATAACTAGGAAAAAGTTACATAAGCTACAAAACTAGAAATATTAAATATTAAGATAAAAAGCGAACAGACATAATAACATAGTAACCAAGAAAAATGTTACATAAAAATACGAGTATAAAATGTTTAAATTTAGAGCGAACAAACAATAATTAGTGCCAAGCACTCAAGAACAGTGGGTCCTCATTGGGTAGTTTCGTCATACGGACAATAGGACGATTTTTGAGATAGTTACTGCGGCCAAAAGGAATTCGGAAAGGGAAGGAGTATCTGGAGTAAAAATTATGTATGTATGAGGAGAAGGTATGCACGGCGATAAGATATGTGCGTGAAAACAGTCTTCTACGATAATTTATACACTCAGTGGATATGTGCGTATAATAATATTATGTTACATTGGCCAACAGTCGGTGGCACCCGCGCTGGACAAGTGATTTATCGTTCAAACCACAGACGAACGAACAAGTCTTAAGGAAACTACAGTAAAGGTAGACTCCACGGTGCAGTGCTCCTTAAACACACAAATTCGCATCCGCACGTACCCACCCTCAAACGCCCACCCACACACACACGCACACACCCCCCCTCCCCCACAACAACCATTTGCTCCCGAAACATTTCGGATTCGCGTACACTACGTGATTTATATCCTTTGAAAGTCCTATATTTCTGAGATGTTGCTAACGGCATAAAACCTATCATATCGCTGTACTGACCACTGCTACACGCCAACCATTTTCTGGGGAAAGTTTAAAGTTTTCTGCTTTAGACGACCGCGATCCCACCGTGCTGTTTGTTTATACGTATATAATATCGATCGGCGTGTTTCGGGCTACTCAACACGAGCTCGATTCTTTGACTGCGAGTGTCCCTGGAGAAATCACGAAATACGCGTACTTGTAAAGTCAAGTCGTATTCCTCTTATTATGTGAATAAACAAATATAGGTACCCCTCTTTAAGCACACATGTCAAGCACTCGGCTGCAGTCTTTTGAACTGACCACTATTCCGATAATACGGTCGGCCATTAAATTTAACGTACCCGTACACAGGGACGGATGATTATTCTGTTATATTCAAAGTCTTACAAAGGCACTCAAACAGTCTAGTGCAGTGAATCGCAGTGGAAATCGTTCAGAATCATAAAATTATATTATATACCCGTGCAATAGAATATATGTTATTATATAGGTGCATGCGATAATACTTCGTAACGATTATAATATATTGATATTGGATGTCTGTTGTTTATAATTAGAATAAGCTTCGAAGTATTCAATAGTGCACCAACAAAAAAAATTGAATTTGCATAAAAATGTCAATACATTGTTTACACGCATTTTGTTCAGTAATTTTAATGCGTGTATATTCGCCATATTTCTATCTCGTTTAAGAGTAATAGTAGAAAATGTATTAATGAAATCGCACATTAAAATATTAAATTATACATTTTTATTTATTTCATTATTTATTTTAGACAAACGCCATGAAGTCTACAGTCACATCTCTTAATTAAAAAATCACATATTTATGTTAATGAACTATGTAATGAATTTGGTAGAGAATTCAAACCAAATAAAATTGTAACCGATTTTGAAAAAGGATTAAGAAATGTTTGCATGTTATAATGGCCAGGAATTAAAGTAGATGGTTGTCGTTTCCATTTATCGCAGGCACGGTGGCATGCAATTCAAAGATTTGGGCTCGCGACGGATTATAAAAATGACGAATCACAAATTATAGTAAATGGCTACATTACTGTTTCGGATTGATATTTTTAAGCCCAGAAGATGTTGAGAACTGTTTTAGTATCGACCTGTACAACACTAAACCAAACGATGACAGCCTGGATACATTTTATGATTATTTAAAAATACACAGATTGGCGAACGAGCAATTTTTCCACCTACAGTCTAGATAGGAGCTTTTTCCGAATCGACAAAATCCAACAATGCTTGTGAATCATTACATGCACATTTTAAATCAAATTTTAACCATAGCCATCTAATATTTTTATATTTATTGATACATTAAAAGATATTCAATCAGAAATTTACATAAAAGTATACATAAACCAAATAGTTGCCATAATAATAAGCTAAAAAAACGACCAAAATTACTAAACCAGCTAATACAAAATTATAAAGATAAAAAAATACCTAAATTTCTTTATATAAAAACAATTTCACATTATTAATCTGTCAAAAAATAATCAACATCAACATCAACAACAACAACACCTACTATCAACACGCACTTAGTATAATTTTAATAAAACTAGAATGCCTATGAATATAAATTTGTCTATAAAGAAAAAAATATATATTTGTGGAGGATAACTAAAACCGCTTCCAAATGATTCTAATTTTTTTTGAGGGGAGTTACTGAAGTGTAATACGGTAGCAATATGTTTTTAGGGGAGTTTACTATTAGAGGAATTTACTATTTAATTTTTTAGGAGAGTTTACATTCGTCCTATTAAAATGCATTTAATATGCAACTTAATTAAATGCATTGTCTATTAAAAATTGGAATTCCTAAGAACCAACTTTATTTATTTCCATACAAAAAACTCAACATTTCATACTTTTTTTTAAATTTGTTTTATTTTGAGTAAAATTATAATATTATTTTTATAATTACTATTAACAAGCGTATTACAAAATATCTTGGTTTAAAAAGGATAGTACCAAAATATGTTTCCCCCTACTATAACAAGAATACAATTTCATAAAATATGCCAAAGAAAATATATTTCCCTCGGGCAAACCTTTGGTTTATAAAAATGTTCAATTTAAAGAAAAAAATGTAGGTACCTATTTACTATGAACACTTGTTAAACAAACTTCTTATAAAAAATTATGAAAACAATGATAATTATTTTTCACGTTTAATATTAAGTTTGTTTTTATCTAATGCATATTCTTGTGTTTCATTTTTATTATGACGTCCGAGGCAGTTATTATGATTTAATGTAACTCTCAAGGGTGTCCATCGGGAGGTTCGAGCGTTCGAGGGTACGATTTTATTCGATTTAAATTTAAGCTGTCTTTGTATAATAACGAATTACTACTGTTATTTATGGACATAACACAATATGTATTATAAGTATTATAAAAACATGACAATGGATGAGAAACCAAGAAAAATGAAAAACTATGTTTTATTTGAACCTGAAAATTGTTACGACGATATTCTGTGTAACACGATATACCTCAAATTATAAAATTAACGACGAACGAACGCATTGCCAATTATAATTATGTACTTAATTAATAGTTTTTAAAAAATGTATTTTTTATAATATATTACAACCATGGATATTTTCATTTTATTTTGAAAAACACCTTTGGATTACTTAAATTATGATTGAAATTCAATGAACTATATCCTATTAAATACGAGACACATGTATGATAATTATTGGGTATTTTATGTATATTTAATATCTTCTTCTTGTCGTATCGGTCTTCATATTCCCTTCACTCCCCAGTAAGCCGCAATTTGTATTGCTTTGTCTGAAATATTTAATATATGATACGTATTTGTTACATGTATATTTAATACACAGATTAGAAAAATATTGTGTAAATGACTCGATTAAAAATAAAAATCTCACCATTATCGGTTATCCAAAGCTGGGTTAAAGTTCAGCCGAATTCAAACAAAAATGCATGTCTTTAATTGATTCCGTAAATTATTTTACACGGAAATATGCAACACCCTTCAACAATTTTTAAACCTTATTAGTATCATATTAAAACGAGAGATAAAGAAAAAATAACTAATGCAATATTTTGAGCAATAAGTATTCAA